GCGCTGGCTGGGACACCGGCACCGGGAAGGGGGTTGGGGAGCCAGCCCTGCGCCCCCCGGGAGGGCTCGTGTTTTCAAGTAAATCCCAGTGCGGTGCTTGGAGGCGTTTCTGTCCGATAGCGCTGGCATCCCTGCTGGATTCCGTTAAGAAATGTGTTTATTACACGGAGTATCATCAGTTTGTTGGTTAACGGCCGCTTGCTAATCTAGTTAGATAACAAGCGGCTCGGCCGGCGCTCCGGCCTCACCAGAGCAATCAGTAGCTAATAAGCAAATAACACCATCTTCCGCAGAATTCAGAGCGCTCCCTGCGCCTCCAAACCCGCTTGGCTTTGACTTCAGCTGCTGCTAAAATCCCCGGGTGTTGCCTGCTGTGCTGTGTTGCTTTCGGATGCTTGGAGCAAATATCTAAACTTTTTTCCTCTATTTTTTTTTTTTGGTCAAGGGTAGAAACCTGGGGTGTGCTGTGTGGAATTAAGCCCGTTGACCTTATGTTCCGAAGTAGGCGTTAGATAATCTCCTTTCGTGATTGGGGTTTAAATGCAATATCTTCAATCACAAAGCTTGGAATTCTTATGATGGTTGGTCTAGGGCTTTTCATTGCTATAAACAAAGCAAAATTCAGAGAAATGGGTAAATTAATGGACCTTAGTGATGTTCGGGAATAACAAGTTCCACACTTCATGCAGAAAACACGTTAACTGGAAGTCCTCTTGTTACAGGATTTTTAATTTCTGGCCTCGTTCCTAAGATAAAACTCCTGTTTTTTAGTGTCTTTCCTTATGCACTTACACTCTTCTTCCTACATCACCCCCACCCCCTGCCAAAATCCTGGACTAGTTCAGAGCTGGATCTCCAATCATATCACTATGGCAGAATTCTGCAAATTTTCTGTTCCTTAGCACTACTAATGTTACATTTCTGTACATGGCCGCTCACTCACTCCTCCCCTCAATGAAGTGGAAAGGAGAAAAAAAAAATGTAATAAAAGGACTGAGAGTCGAGACAAGAACAGAGAGGGAGCACCCACCAACCATGGTCCTGGGCAAAACAGACTCAGCTTGGGAACAAAACCAATTTATTAACAGTTACTTGAGAGGATAAAAAGAAACAAAGCCAGGTCTTAAAAAACAACACCTCTCCCCCTTTTTCCTTTTCTTTCCAGCCCTACCTTCTCCCCCAGCGGCGCAGGGGGACAGGGAATGGGGGAGTGCAGGTCAGTTCATCCATGTTGTTACTGCTGCTCCCTCCTTTCTTAAAGGAGGAGTCGTCCTTACACCATTTTCCCTTGCTCCAGTGGATCCCCTACTCACAAGGAAAAATCCACAGACTTCTCCAGAGTGAGTCCTACCCGCAGGATGCAATCCTTCCCCATCAGATTGCTCCAGTGCGGGCTTTACCACAGTCACAGATTCTTAGGGAGTTGTGGCCACTCGCTCTGGCGTGGGTCGTCCCACAGACTCTGGATGCGTCTCTGCCTTGTCGTGCATCCCCTGCTCCACGACCTCTCTTAGGCTCAGGCATCTCTTCCCCGACGTGGGTTTCTCCACGGGCTGCGAGCTCTGCTCCACCGAGGCCGTCCTGGTTGCAGGGGGGCAGCCTGCTATCTCACCATCAGCCGCAGGGGAAACTCGGCTCCGGCACCCCTCCTCCCGCTCCATCCTCACTGACCTGCTATCGATGCGGCTGTTTCTCTCAGATCTCAGTCCTCTCAGGTGAACTCAGCCCAGTGGGCACCCCCAGAGTGGGGTGCTCCCCGAGTTCCCCAGCCAGCTCTGCTGCTGCAGCCATCTTCTCTCCTCACTGCCAGGCAAAGCACCTTTTCCGGCTCCTTTGTCCCAACTTAAATAGGGCAATTCGCAGAGGCGCTGCTGGGCTCAACCCCAAGGGAGATGGGGGTCCAGTCTGGTGGCCAGAGCCGGGTCTGACCCGGTTCCGAAACCAGGGAAGTCACAGGGAGCAAATTCCCTTTTCTGCCACCAGACCCCCTTCACACAAACCCAGCACAATTTCCCGTTCTAGTGTAAGGAGCTTTGAGCTCCTCTGCTTTCCACCTACTCCCAGATGGAAAATGTATTATTTTTATTCACAACAGTAGTGTAGCCCGTCACCGTGGCTCTTTTTCTGCAGCAGCCACCTTAGATTGTGGCTTTTTGCAAGACTAAGGTGGCATTTGGCTCCCCTCCTGTGTGCAGTACTGGTGAAACGAGACTCATCTTGTCCTTGCAAACCAGCACAGAAAGCCAGCATGGTGAAATGGAAAGCTCCCTGTGTATATTTTATTAAAAGTTGCAGAAAAATCAAATTATGAGGAGCGCTGTGAGTCAGGGACTGGCCTGGGGCTTCCTAACTGTTCGTGCAGGACAAGTGTTTGTTGATACCTTTTCTTGTGGGAAAACATTAGTGGACTTAGGGCTTTATCAGATAAACTTTAGATGTTCAGGTTGAGCCTCTGATCTTTTCTTGAAGATAATCATCCACGTTGTCCTTGGGCAGTAATAAAAGAAGTTGTTTGAGTCCAAGCGTGATGAAACACTGAGCTGAACTCCTCTCCCTCCTAAAGCACATAGATTGTGTTCTACGGGAACATTTAATCAGGAAAACTAGCCCGTGATTCAACAAATTAACCTTCCAAGATTTTATATAAACAAGTAGGGGTGTTTTAGTTAATATTTTTTTACCTTTGTGGACTTGTCTGGGTACAGTCTTCCTTGTACAGAAGTTGCCTGGAATTTGGCCTGAGTACTTTACACTGCTAACGGAGAGTTGCTCACGTGTAGTGCAGATTGTTGGTGTGCACAAAGCCCAGTGGAATGTTAACATCAAGATTCACTCCACAAAAGAAAAAGATAAAAATTAGGCTTTTTTTAGACTCTGAGGTCTTTTCTTTCTTTTAGTCCCTCCTGTTTGTGAGCTTGTGAACAGCTGAAGTCACTTAAAGCACTTTGAAGCTTGAGTTGGAGTGCTAAATGCAGTGTCTTTTCCTGTTTTGTGTTCCATGCTGCCAGTAATCCTTGGCAAGTTTGTTTTGAAAGAACATCCAAAAGAACCTGTGTTCTCCTGCTGGAGTACCCGGTTCTGGTCGCGTCGTTGTACTTCCTAGGGAGCTAAAGGCACTTCCGCGCTTGGGTTTGCCTTTGATGTAAAAACCTTGCATAGAGCAAACCAGGCAAGTTCCTTTTTCTTTATGCTTTTCCGAAGTGATTGTTGGAACGTGGCAGGTTTTCGACCTGGTATTATCAAGAACACGTTTCGAACCAAAACTTGCATGGCCAACTGAAATACAAAGATAAAATATGAGCTGCTACGTGATAAGCCCGCATGCTCTAATAACAATGAGGGCTGTGTTTTGATATTCTCCTCTCTGAATGTCGTTTTTTGGCATGCAGACAGCGAGCTAAAATGTTGATTTGAGAATAAAATTGAAATATTTACACTCACTGCCGCATCGGCTCATTGCCTCACATGCTTCATACACCCGTGTCAGAATATTCAATGCTGCTGGTTTAGTATCTGAAATTACTCAGCTTTTCCAGCGTTGATATCAGCCCTTAAGCGTGATGGAGGAAAAATGGCAGAATTGTCTTATTTACTTCACAACACGAATAAGATTTTCAGGTAGAACAGAGGCTCTGAGCAGACTCGAGTCTCTGATCTCAAGAGTTACAACTTCAGGCAGGCTTACGAGCCTGACGGAAAGGCTGCCGTGCCGTTCTCGTGCCAAGGGTCCCGACCAAGCGTAGGTTTTGTCCTGCTCGGTGTTGTGGGTGGGTGGGACAAAACCCGCGTGCCAGCTGCACCCTCGGTCCTTGAGTTCGGGACGTTGTGACACCACGTACCGTGGACAGGCGGAAACGTTGGGTGCTTTCCAGGCATGACTCAATCCATACTAATGAAGTGGGATGAGAGGCAAGCATGGACTGTCTTCCAGTGCCTTACAGTGTTGTCTTCCCCTGCAGCTTGCCCATCAGCGGGCTGTTGCTAACGAAGTAGCTGTGGGAACTGTTGTGCCAGCTTGGCGCCGTGCGAACCGGTGCGTAATGGTTTCTGCCTCGCTGGTGAGGTTTGCCAGCAGTGAAGTGGCTGGGAAAGCTGGTTCGTGCCATCGCACAGAACATCCCGTAACTGCCTTTGGGTGGGCTGAAAGTCACCCCTGCCATGGGTGTCCTTGGGAATTCCTCTGAAGTGTTGCCTGCTGCCTCTGAAACAGCACGGACACGGGGCGCTTCGTTTCCAGGGGAGTTCATTGAAACTCGTGTGGGAGCTTTAAAAGTATTTTGAAAACCAAATTTTCCCTCTTTCTTGAATGTTGCCTTAAATACTTTCCTGCTGGCAAGCAGGCATGGTTTCTGGTCGTTTTCCTGCCTGTTTTCATTGGCCTTGGTGCTTGGCACTTGCTGAGTTGGTGAGGTCCAGTTTGGGGAGCTGATTTGTTACCCGAACCTGCGTGCGATGGAAACGGTGCTTTCTGGTAACGTGCTGTGCTCAGCAGAGCTGCTGCAGTCATGGTGAGGCCACCTGGAGCCTTCAGGCACAGGCGCAGCCTTCCCTTGGGCCGGGCGTGCGCAGGAGCAGGGGGATGAGCCGCTCTGCCTGTCTTTAATTACTGCACTTCTTAATTGCAGACTTGGACTCGGAGACGCAGCCATGAAAGATCCGAGTCGCAGCAGTACCAGCCCAAGCATCATCAGCGAGGATGTGATTATAAATGGTCATTCCCACGAAGACGACAATCCCTTCGCGGAGTACATGTGGATGGAGAACGAAGAGGAGTTTAACAGGCAGGCAAGTCATTCCCCTCTGTCTTGTCGTGTGCTTTGCCATTTTCTGGCTGAAGGGAGAGGTGCTGTGGCTTAGCAACCGAGATAGGAGACTGGGAATCCTTTAGAGACGGGCTTTTTAGATAGGCTTAGAGGAATCCTGGGGAACAGACATCTCCGTTTCTCTGGCAAGAAATATTTTCTGTCATCTGGGTGGAAGATATGGGAAGTGTGGCATGTTCAAATGTATTCATTAATCCCCTGCTTCTGCAGGAGGGAGGAGAAAAAAAATAGTTGACAGACTTTATGTGGCCCTTTGGAAGGGACGGGTCTGGCGAGGCCACTGCAGAGATTTTACGTGCGCAAACATGCCGGCTGTGGTCGTTCTGAACTGGTCCGCTGCCTGCCTGCCTTGTCACCAGGGCTGCTGTTCCTGAGGGAGATGGTGGACGTGGCTGTTGGGTGACAGTCCTGCTTGTTGCTTAATACTTCCGTCTTACAGCTGCCCTCGCAGCCAGGTTGGAAGGAAGCCTTCACTTGATCTTTCACCGTACGTTTGGATGCGGTTTTCTCTCCTGTGGAAGCTGGGAACGGCCCACCTCTTTCCCCCGCCTCTGTTTTTTTTAATCAAAACTTGATCTTTGTACTCAAGCAGCCACTTTCTCTCCGCTCCAGCACAGCGTGGCCATGCTGAAGGCTCAGGAGTCGGAGCTTCTGCAGTAGGATACGCCTGCTGCTCTCTCTTCAGGGTGCCAGCAGGGCACAGAGCTCATCTGAAATTCAGGTTGCTTGCAAAATCTGCATTCCCTTGTGCGTGCGCCAGGATGGGCTCGTGTTGTTTCCTGTTGGGTGGGTTTTTCCTCCTGGGGACTGTACAGTAGTTGGCATAAGGGATGTGTAGTTCTTGGGGACGGAGCTGAGAGTCGTGCTGTGAATAAACTTATTTTTCAGGCACGGGCTCCATTTTCAGAGAAGAGGAGAGGTGGGAGCGTGAGGCGAGGACGTTCTTGCTCAGGCAGGCAGGCACCACGCGGCAGCCCGCCGCTGCAGGCACACCGCTCCGGGGAACCCTGAGCGAGGAAAATACAAACAGGCAAAATTAATTTTGAGTCGTTTACAGAACTGAACATTATAGTAGGTGCACAACCATGTAACAAAAAACCCGGTGCCAGGCAGCCCCTGCTGTGATAGTAGCTCATGGCTGCGTGCCCACGGCTCCCTTGCACCCGCACGCAGGATGGAGGCAGTGCCTCACGAGAAGGATTGATGGGAGCCCGCCGCCCTTGCTGGAGTGCTTTACTGGGAATCACTGAGTCGGGGTTTTGTGCGGGGTTTGGATTGCCCGGACAGTGCCTGAGAGCGTGGGGTGATGAGTCCCTGTTCCCCAGAGCGCGGTGCGTCTTGAGCACCGAGCGAGCTGGTGAGCGTCTTTGCCCCGAGCACAGGGAACCTGAATTTTCCAGGAATCCTGAACTCTGCCCTTAACTTTGGTGATTTGGTATTTGTGGTGTGTAACTGAATTTCCACTTCAGGACCAAGTGGGTGTTTGATTTCAGAGTGAAGGAGAGATAGCAAAGCTTGTTTGAGCTTCCATGGAGCAAACTTCTAAATCTGTCCTGGACCATTTTTCCACCCCCTTACGTCTGGCAGGTCATTCACACCAGCTTCTATTTCCCTGCGTTCCACTCGTCAGTGCTGCAGTGCAGCACGTGGAAAAGTTGTCGGGATGAACTCCCTCCACAGCTTGTTTACTCAACAAACAGGCAGAACTTTCCTTTAATCTGTGCAATGCGTGTCGGTTGATTTGTCCTGCTTGTAGCACGGCAGGTCAGCGTTCCGAACAGCTGCCGAGAGCGCTGGAGTTCCGTAGGAGAACTGCGTTCAGTCAGCACATCATCTACAGCTGGGGAGATGCTCTTGTTCCCTGTTCCAAGTGACAGGCAGTGGTTGTTTTTTTTTTTCCCCGAGAATCTTGCAGGATGCTTTCCTAGAGAGTGTGTTCCTCATACTTGCAGTGAGTTCGGTCGAGACTAGTCGGTGAAACTGAAATTTTCGCTTGGAACCAACGTTTTCCTTCTCCTTGAGCTCTTCACAAGCTGCAAACGAAGCAGGTGGGGCTGAGAGGTTCTCCTGCCATTCCCTTTTAACTGCAGCCCAAGTTCCCGGGGCAAAATAAAATACTCTTTGCATTCAAAAAATCCAAGCTGCTTGCCTTCCCGCAGCACAAGCCTGCTGTTCCGCTAGGAGTCCTGTTGCAGAGATAAGTGCACAAACCTTGGAATGAAGACACAAGCTCTCAATGTTTGTTGACAAAGCAGTTTCTTCTCGTTGTGTAGATTGAAGAGGAGTTGTGGGAAGAAGAATTTATTGAGCGCTGTTTCCAGGAGATGCTGGAAGAAGAGGAGGAACATGAATGGTTTATTCCAGCCCGTGATCTCCCACAAACAATGGATCAAATCCAGGACCAGTTCAATGACCTTGTTATCAGTGACAGCTCATCACTGGAGGATCTGGTGGTAAATTCAGTTTCTCTTCATGTTTCTAAAACTTTGTCCAAGGCTGTTTTGTTTTTTTTTGTTGCTGATAATGGCCAGAGAAAATCCTTTACACGTAGGCCAGAGACTCTTAAACCGGGGTGGGATGGCTGGGCAAGGGATGTTTCCTCGAGTGACGTGACTATTCGGTGGTTTCCTTCATAGCCACACGGTGCCTTTGCTAGCCCGTGGCGTAGATTCAAGTGGCTTTGGGTATGCCTAGTGCGTTAGGAGAGAAGGGTAGAGTGAGGCACGATGACCCCATGAGGTGCCGTTAGGTGACAGGACTGCAAGAGTTTAGTTCTGCCTCTGCCAGCACTTCGGTGTTGGGTCCGTACGAGCCACGTTCTCAGGTCTGGTTTGGATCGCGTGCACCACAGCAGATCTCTCTATAAGAATCTTAGGGGGAAAGCAGCTAAACTATGATGATTTCCTCTTTCTTGCTGTATGATTTTTTGTCTAGAGCAGTTGGTGCCTGTTTTCCCAAACAAAATACGACGTTACCGATGCGTAGTAAACACACGGTCATGTTGCACGAGTGCTGTGAAATTCTACCCCTGCTTTTCCAAGCTTAAGCAGCTGCAGGCAGCAGTTTTAGTCTCACTTAAGAACACAAAAGCCTAATCCTCCATTTCTTCATGACTAAGAGCTCATTTTGGAGGTGCTGGCTGCCCACCTGTAACTGCAGGACATTGTGGAACAGCAGCTGGCCAAGTGGGAGGACAGGGTAGTCACTGGCATAGAACTTGAAAAAAATCAATAGTGTGCATATAATTCCTGGAACAAGTCTCCTCTTGCTTAAAGAAGCAAGATCCAAAATCCTCACGGCACGTTTTAACAGCTCAACTTTAGGAAAAGCTGTTTCAGCACGGATCGAGGTTGCCGTGTTTCATGCATGCCGGTGGGTTCCTTGTTCCCTGAGCCTTTGTCTGACGGAAACATCCAGGTGGTGCTGAGGAGGGATGGCTAACTTAGTAATTTTAGACTTTTAGTAAATATGCAAAAACCCTGTTAGGTGCTTGGCTGTTGCTCTCAATCCACAAACTGTCCCTGATGCTGTCCCCAAGGGTTGTGTTCAGCTTGGGAATGGGAGGTGAAGGCAGTGACTCAACCAGACTTGTGTTTTTCCTTCCCTCAGGTCAAGAGTAACCTGAATCCAAACGCAAAGGAGTTTGTTCCTGGGGTGAAGTACTTAAATATTTGAGTAGACTGGGCCCTCTCTTGGTGGATGTAGCACAATTTCCACACTGTGAAGCCAGTATTAGAAGATTTAATTGTAAAAGCTCTCTCTTCTTGTCACTGTGTTACACTTATGCATTGCCAAAGTTTTGTTAGTCTTGCATGCTCAATAAAAGTGCTGAGACTGTTATTAAGTAAACCTGTCAAAAGTTTCGTGGAGACATCCTTGGGCCCTGGCGCTCCGCAAAGGAGGCGGTGAGGTAAGAAGCACCAGTCAAGTTGAGACAAAGTTCCACCTTCCTCAAATCTTCTGCAGACTCTGTCTTTTTAACCAGGAATTTGCTATGATGGTCTGTTTTTAACTAATGGTGTGTTAACTGGTGCTGGCTTGCACCTGATGATGCCTTAACTTCCAAATGACAGCGAGGAGATCTGATTGTTATGCAAATGAGCTAACTTTCCTTTGAAATACCAGTATTGTTACTAATGTTAATTTTTCCCCTGAGGAATCTGCGTGCTCCGCCTAAGCAGCATGAGCTTTAACAGAAAAATTGACAGACCTGTGCAGAGTCATAGATCTCAGCCACCGAGCTGCCATCCAGGCGATGGGAAGGAAGAAATTCCCAGTCCTTTGCGGTGTGGTATCATGTTCGAAACGTTCCACTTCCTGATTAAGCTAAAGGAGATGGGAGTTTCATCACAATTTCTTCCAACAAACCCGGATACGGACATAGCGCTGCCTGTGTAACTTTTAGCTGGATTTAACCAAGAAAACCCTGTCATTAGTGATTTGAGTGGTGCTTTTCCCTCGCTTTGTTTAATCATCACTACACGATAGTCTACAGCACAACAACTTCTTTTTTTTTGTTGTTTTCTTTTTTTTTTTTTTTCCTTTTAATAAAGCTAGAACAGTTTTGGCTTCTTAAACTTCATATTCGGGTAGGTTAAGCTGCCATACGTGTTCAGTGTGAATAGTGTTTAAGTTGAAAATATTGTAAAAAAATTATATTTTTTCAAAAATATTTAAAAAAATAAATAATAGTAGAACTGACGTGGTGGCTGTCTCGTGAATACACATCTCCCACGGAAACTCCTTTGGAAAAGGATGGCGTTACGGACATGGTGCCCGTAAAGCTGTAATGCCATAGCCCAAAATCCTCATCCAAGGTTGGACTCCGACGGCTTTTTCTTTCTTTCCTCCCCGGCTTTCTGTGGTTGCCAGGGCATGTTTTCCTTCGCTCTCACAGCTGCCAATCCCAGGTGAGCTCCGGGCTGGTGAACAGCTGGTGGCACCGTGTAAAGCCCGGGGCCTGGCGCTGGCGGAGGCTTCGGCGCGGTGGCTGCTGGCACTGGGATGCTCCGGGTCCCCTGAAC